AAAAAAAAAAAAAAAAAAAAAAAAGCTATTGAATGGTTTTTAAGAACAGAATATTCGCAATTTATTAACAAATATTTAACATTTTGTACTTTTTATTTTATTAAATTCTGTGAAAATATTAGATTCTCATAAAATACAAATTAGAATCTTATTCTACATATTAAAAAAATAGTTTGAATTCTTTTTTATTTCTTAAAGGTGGAATTAGAATCCATGAAAAGCTAAATACAATGCACAAGCAAATAACTAAAACAATTTATTTTATTTTATAAAAACAATCAAGGAATTAAAGTTTTAAGAAAACAATTAATTAATTATATAAAATCCGAATTTATTTGGTTGCAAATTTTAAAAAGTAAAAATAAAATAGCCAAATAGGTCCGTGTTTATCCAAAATGTATATTTATTTTTTCAAAATATTCGCGTGACGGCGGCCTTGTTGGCCCATTAATATTGGGCCCAACATTCAAACTATGGGCCTATCCTGTCTCATTGTCCACTGGCCCATCTTTTTTCCACGGTAGATCTGTGAAAACAATTATAAAACTATGACATATTTAAATTTTAATTATTCAAACATGTTAGTCAACGATATTAATTTTGTAATTTATTTAAATTAAAATTAATCTGTACATGAATAATCACTATATTACATAATTTAAATAAATAATCAGTAAACTACATAATTTAAAATTGTTTTTAGAGAATCTTGATATTAAAGAATTAAAAGAAATTAAAAGTATTTTAATGCTTAAGAGTGAAGAATAATTAGGGTTACTTTAAGAGGGTATAATGCATTGAGAAGACTCTTAGGCTAAAGAATAATTGTACTTGTTTCACATAATTTGCTGATAGAATATAGTATAAGTATTAAATATTAAATTAGCTTCATGTCTTTGTGTTGTTAAAATCCTATATTATTTTACGGTCTGTTTCTCAAGTATATAAACATAACGTTGTTAAAGTGGGCCATCATATTCCGACATGCTCATATGCTGTGTTGGAATATTAAATAATTATTTGAAAACTGAAATTAAAAAAAAATGATATATTATGAAATTCAAAGTCCCCATGAAGAGATAATCCATTGGGATTCGCAAAAGTCAAAATTGGAAAAACTAAATCAGTTATTCAATTTATTAAAATAGGAATCTGGAAAATAATCTAGGAATACCGAAAGTAACATTGTCCATTGACTCACGGTTTAATAGGTATTTGCTAGAGAGAAGTTTTCACACATTCATAAGCGATGTTGGAATGTTGGAATGTTCATTTTCTCTCGAGCTGAAATGGAATCTCACAATCCACTCTTCTCACTGTTACACCGCCCCGTGTCTGACTCTGATGTAATTTGCAACAGTTAAGACCTACTGCTAATGGATATTGTCGTCTTTGACCCGTTGCCTATCGCCTTAGCCTCACGATTTTTAAATGTTATTTGATAAGAAGACCTTTATAAGAAATAATAGGAAGGGGCAACCTACCAATTTGGTTGGGAGGAACCATCTTTGTTGGTTTATTCAATCACAGCTGGTTTGCAGTTTGTCATGTTAAGTAGTTGATACAATTTCATTAGCTTTTCTGAAACATATAGTCTTAACCTTTCAACGTTCGGTCATTCAATTTCACAAATGATTTTAAAACACCAATAATTCAATCTCTCATTCTACCATCGTTGAACTCAACAGCAATAACCAAAGCAGAGATATCATACCAAGAAAAAATCAACCAAAACTGCAAGGAAAGGCCCCAAATATGGGAAGTAGTTTGGGGGCTAAGAGCTGGGTGTGTGGTTTGCGGCAGTAGGATGATACGAACCACTCAGAAAGTGTGCGGAGAGATGTCAGTTATGTCGTGTTAGAATATTGGATGAGTAGTATCTGGCAGTTGAGTGGATAAGTGGGCTTGTTTCTAAAAGAAGGAATCAAATGCCACAACAGAAAATGGAGGCAGCGAGAGAAGGATTTGATTCTTGTTTTGGTACCTAAGCAGATTCTTCAGGGGACAATATTCTTGATCACAAACTACAAGATGCAACTTGTGCACACAAATCTATCGCCCATAGGCCATAACCCATAACCCATAACCCATAACCCAACCCCACCTTTAACTTTCTGATTCAGTAACATAAAGCTGAAGCTCTAAAGAGAAGAAGGGAAATGGCACCACACGAAACTGCAGAATCAGTATAGAGTTCACAGCAGGCCTTTCCTTCTCCATATACCTTTTTTCGTTTTCTAAACCTTCCCTTGCTTGCGCTTCCCAACTATTCAAATATACAATGCCTCCTCTCTCAAGTTTCCTCATATTCTCCTCCCCTTCTTTCTCACTCTTGATGATCCAAGAAAGCTTAGATTCTGTCGCCCCACCTTGCTGTATATATTGCTTGCCGCCAAAAAGGCTCATTCTTCTTTACAGAAACCCATTTCATATCAAATCTCTGGTCCTGTCATTGTTCAAAAACCTTTGAACATCCAAAACCAAGCATTGGAAGTGATTTGTAGAGATGGGTACCTGCGTTCGCCTCCATACTGCATTGCTTTCATTGTTGATCTTCCTCAGTTTAGGTAAATCAGCGTTCAATGCCCTTTTTTTTTTTTTCCTGCACAATGATATCAATGCCTTATCTTTCTGCATTTCTCATATTGGTTGTTCTAAGATAATCACAATGTGAAGAGGTTTCACTTTTTCACAAGAAGGAACTGACCTTGCTTTTTATGGCTTCAGGTTCAAGTATTGCACGGACTCCATATTTTGAAGCAAACCAAGAAGACTATGTACTGCAAAATCAAGAAGAACAAATACCCTACTTTTCAACTTCAATATCCAACACTCAACTGGACACAATCCCCATTGTGAATCCAACCACCCCAGTGGGCGGCACAACTCCAACCCAGACCCCGATTGTGGATCCAACATCACCGCCAGCACAAACAATCCCTACCGGACCGACCATAACGCCTACAACCCCAACCATAACGCCCACAACCCCAACCATAACGCCCACAACCCCAACAACCACAGGCGGTGGAAGTTGGTGCATAGCAAGTTCAAGTGCTTCCCCAACCGCTTTGCAGGTAGCTCTTGACTATGCTTGCGGATATGGGGGCGCGGATTGCTCGGCAATTCAAACGGGAGGTAGTTGCTTTGAGCCCAACACTATGCGAGACCATGCTTCTTATGCCTTCAACCAGTACTACCAGAAGAATCCAGCACCCACAAGCTGCGTGTTTGGAGGAACTGCGCAGCTCACCAGCACAGACCCAAGTAAGAAAGATCATCACTTCAAGTTTATTTTAATTCAGAACCATAACAGAAAATAGGCAATACTTCATCTCCAAACAATACAACTGTAGGTATTCGGTCATGATTGATGCTTCCTCCTTCATTTCATTTTGAACAGAAACCCAAAATTTGCTTCATACCTTCGGACTTCAAAAACTGAGCATATTCCTTTTCCAAATTGTTTCCTATCTGCTAAAGTTTTTACTACACAGAATAAAATTCAATCCTGGAATACGAACATCCCAGCTCCTGATAAAACTAGATAATCATTCCTCAGCTTGAAATGTGAACATATCTTTTCTTCATGATTGCAGGCAGTGGAAATTGTCGCTACGCAGCATCAAGATCAACGCCGAGGTAAATTGGAAAATAGTTCCTTCGTTAGAATCCGAATTCAAATAGCAGGAAAACAATCTCATCTAACTTGTTTATGCGAACGCAGCCCAACAACACCAATCAATCCACCAATGAATCCAACTCCGATGCCACCGTCAACCCCAACCATAACAACGCCAACACCACCCGACACAATGCCTACTGACACGACGCCAACCGATACCACACCGACCGACACCGGCGGTTTCGGAACAGAACCATCAGACACAGCAAGCTCCGCGATTCGAGTCACGAGCTTCTTCTCTTTCGTGTTCTTGGGATCACTTCTTATTACAAATTGCATGTAAGAGGAGGCAGAAAGCGACTCGGATCTGGTCTATTACAATCTGCAGGCCGAGAAGGCATTTAGATTTTCTTTTATACAAAGGAGACGCGGAGGTCGGGGGGAGGCATTAGTGTTCGGTTACTAAGAAAAGAGGGGAAAATGGCAGAAAATTATCACAGGGTTTCTGCCATAATAGTGATAGAATAAAATTGTAGCCTGTGTCTACGTTTAGGACTATATTCCCTTGGGAGCTAGCAATGTGTTCACTTTTAGTTCATGTTCATCCTTACTCATAAAAATAAAAAAAGAAAAAATTTCATTCATATCACCCTCAACCTATCAAATTATATAAATTTTTGTTCTGAACTTTCAATTTTATCAAATAACACGTCAATTTTAAAAGTATCTACAACAGGCGTTTACATAACCAAACAAACAATCATTTCAAATAAGTTCGATATATATTTGTAATCTCGTGTTCATTGGTGCAGCTTACAATGATTTAATTTTCAGTGTACCTACAGAAAATGCAATTCAGTTCGCCAATCAAGCTTAGCATTTGATAAAAGATATGTAGACAGGCTCACTCACGTGATCAGAGAAGGTTTGTGGCAAATTACATCTTTCATCAACACTGTTCTTCAGCAGCAGAAAACATGAGGAAGCATTATGTACAGAACAGGAAGTAGAAAAGCAATAAAATTACATAATCTGTCACATTCAAGAAGTAGTAGAGTTTGTAAGTCCTAAGAGGAACAGAATATTACAGAGCGAGCCGTTCTGCTAATTACTCATCATACAAGGATGTTGCTTGCGCGTGAGGCAACCAATCATGGCGAGATAGCAATCAGAACCTCACAGGAATATCTACTTACATACACCACAGGATGTTACACTGATCCCTAAGGAGCCTTGATAACAATTATTACAATGGATTGACCTATTTAGAATGACTTTTTAAGTGTTCTAAGAAGAGTTTTTACGTGAAAAATATATTCTTAAGCACTTAGAAAGTCATTTCAAATAGGCTCTTAGATCTTAGAAACATAATCTGAGAAAGAAAGAATTATTAGCTTACCTAACATTTTCCTTGTAGGAGAAATTTAGAACTGGCCCTCCAAAGGACCTGCAGGGAAACCATAAAACATCTTATAGCATAACAGACAGAAATCGTCATCTATCATTATGCTAAACTATGCAGCCCAAAGATACCGAGAAATAACCCTTCTACTAATAGAAGCATATATATCAAAAGCATTCCTTCAGCTGGACACCGTTTTCCTGAAATAGGAATAGAAAGTTATGAGCAGACACTTCTTCCTCATTGCGGCGTCATCATCAAGATTAGCTGTATCGAGCTGGAAATAACAGCAAATACACATTAACCCTGTAAATAAATTAGGTTCCTCTTGAATCTTGAATTTAGCTTACGTCACCTCAAATTGAAGCAATATTTACTTCCACACTTTTTTTTCTCCAAAGAAATTTTCACTAAACTAGAGCAGTATCACAAATGAAATATGAACAACAAAGATTCACATGTTAATAAATGTTAGTATCATGCATAAGATAATATACTAAGGAAAAATGGTACCATACTCTTCAATACCGGTGTTCTTTTCTTCCTTCTTCTCTTTCCTTTTTTTCTTGCTGGATCCCCCCCATCTATCTCTCTTTCTTTCTTTTTCTTTTCATTTTTCCGAATAGGAAGCCTTATTTGCTATTAGTAACCACTCACAAGCCCCATTTCCATCCATGAAGTGCAATACTGTAGAACTATTAAACTTGTAGAACACATAGAGTGATAGTCAACAAGGAGCAAAATGGTACGAAGCATAAGTAAGATGAAATGAACATGTTAAAGGAAATCATATTAATTTTGTCATGAGTTGCAGATATAAAATAAGTGATCATAGTCTCCAAAAATCTTAGAACAAGATGTTTAATGGTTTCCTAATTTACATGCATGAGTATAGTTGATAGTCAAGAAGTAAAAACACTAGGCTCAGAGCACTAATCAACGTACAATCAGTAGTGAAACAAAGAACTACATTAAACTTGAATACGTCCATGCTTAAACTCCAACATAAAAGAACAAACTAGATTAAAAAACGGCAAAGGTTTAGTTTGCTCCAGGTAACTAATTCTTGGCTAAAGGTATTAATCATTAAATATACTTCACAGCATGAAACCACCTAGTAACATTAATCTTAATCAAGTGAAAATTTACAGATGAGAACATATCAATAGCATGACTGTCAAATGTGTCAACGAAATCTACTCGAGAAATACACAACTTACACAAGGAATAGATACGTAACATGAACAAGGATAGCAGTATGTTCAGTGGTTTGCTTTATGATTGCTTTCTTGTCTTTGCTTGAGTAGCTACATTCTACAATCAGTCATAAACCTCCCAATCTCTCTAATACCACTAAACCCCTTGTCCTATAAAATTTTATTATGGAACTTCCACGTGGCTTTACAATATTTAACAATCTAAAGCTTACAAGATATTTAATATCTATGTCTGGATTCAAATTTAAACGCTTGACAATTTGATTGAATATAATGATCTAATCCTTAGGCTCAACCTAGCATACTCTGACGTTCTACATCAATTCAGCAAGTTCCAAGTTTCCACTATTTTGAAATATGCTAAATCATAACCTTGTACACCAACTTCAGAATTTGTTGTCTTTAATCTTTCAAACGGCCTTAAACTCTGATAGAAGCCTTATTGAAGAACTGACTCTACATCAAGTGTAAATGACGTAAATTTTTCAAAATTAATGACTGTGTTACCTTGTGTAGTATCAAATAGAAGAAAGAGAAGATCCAAGTCCGAGGTTCCAAATCTAACTATGAAATGGACAAAGATTTAAATATAATAATCAAAAGAAAGCATTCCAAAACACCAGATAGAATTAGATAACACAAAAATAAGTAGCAAGGGAGAAAGCAACAGCCTGCAAGAATTATATTTCACAACATTAAAATTCATATACATTCTTCTCATATATAACTACGCACAAGAACTGTACAATAAAATTGAAGAGACATTCCCTAAACCTAACTTCACCAAAAAAAAAAAAAAAAAAAAAAAAAAAAAAAAAAAAAAAAAAAAAAAAAA